ATTATTCGCCCAGGCTTCACGTGATCGTAGCACTTAATTACACCCCAGCCCTGTCGTACAGACCACTTTAGGTGGTTCCGACTCGTGGTCAGGTTCAGATATTGAGATTGAGATTAGAGCTCTATATGCAGCCGTACAGGTCACGTTAGGTGACTCCGGCTGCCAGATTACACGATGTTGATATGATTATACCTGAGCACTTGCATATCTTTATGAGATGTCGGCATGGCATATTATCGAGCATATGGCATATTTTTGAGCATGCTTAACACATGTACTATGCGTATATATATATTTTCTGGGAAGTATATAGGTTTTACGGCGAGGGGTTAGTAAGTATTTTTATAAATGGTTTTCGAAAGCTTTGTTTTTGCCCACTCACGCTTTTGTTTTGCGCCCCTCCAGGTTCTAGTTGCTTAGCCGTTGCGGTGGTTTCCCCAGAGGGCTTTTCGGCGTTTCTGACAGACACTCACCATTGTAGGGTCGCCTTCGAGCGTACCACTATTGTCGTTTCGTTTGGACTGCTATAGACCTGCTCTGAATTTTTTTTTTTTTTTTTTTACTTGTGCTAGCACCTGTTCTAGGACTTGTATGCTAGTTTTAATTATTCGTACCTTTATTTTATTACTTTATTAGCTTCCGCACGTGCACATGGCTACGTCCCCTTCGTGTGACGGCCAGCACGCTCCGATCTCGGTCGGGGTGTGTCATAAATTCACATAAAAATTCACAAATGCAAATTCCACCAAATTCACAAATCCAAATTCACAATGAAATTCACATACAAAATTCACAAATATGGACAACGAAATTCAAATAATATTTCACAAATGCAAATTCGAAATTAAAAACTTACAGTGAGAGAGAGGGATTGCTCTTGGATCTTGGTGGTTGGTGTGGTGGTTGCTCATGGCACGCGGACTGAGAGACAAAGGACTGAGAGAAAGATCGAGAGAGAAAGGACTAAGAGGGAGAGATTGAGAGAGAGAGAGCACTGAGGGAGAGGTTTTGAATTTGAACTGCGTGATGTTATAACAATGGAGGCAGATTGTCTGCCTTCCTGTTTGGTACCCTTCTCATCCCCTTTTATTTTGTGTGGTCACGGTTAAGCCACATCAACATTTTATATTAATTTTTTTATAGAGATAATAAGACAAAAAGAAATAGGAATATAAAATATTGACGTGCTTAACGTGACCGCACAAATAGGAGGGAATGGGAAGGGCACCCAAACAGGAGAGTAGACAATCTGCCTCCTATAACAATTTAAAAACTTGTCTGACACTTGTTGGAGAGATTTTTCAGTGTGACCGTCACACATGGGGTAGTATACCACGTGTCGCTACATAAATGGTGAGATATGTGTGTTAAAAAGTTAATAACTTAAATATAAAATTCCCACCACTTACATAAAAACATGTGGTATACCACTCATATTCCCGTCACAACTAAAAATTTCGACTTTGTTGGGCAAAGATTTTAAAAATTTTGACACGTGTTCATAACCCTAAGATTTCGTTTGGCAAAGTTACTAGAAATCGTAAAATTTGGTGAAAAAAAAAATTGGGGGAAATTAGTAACATAGCAAAGCAAGTGCATAAAAGATGCAATCATCAATTCGCCCAAGAGGCCACAATTATTGCGGCGAAACATATTAATGATAAGGAACACATTTTTGCTATGTTACTACTACTTGTACTTGCTCTACTAGTTTGGGGGCCAATTTGAATTTTTGGGGAAATTTGTGGGCATCTTTTTATTGACATTGCCCGACGGAATTTAGAAAGTTCGCTTGACGAGTACAAGTATTCTGTCAGGCAAACTTAAAACAAAAATAGTGTTTACCTACTTTTGAACATTAAGTTCAAACTGTTCAAAAAATCATCAAATTTGATGATCAGGTAAATTTAGTATGTGCTTTTACTTTCAATTTGGGGCATTGTAAAAAATGAACCAAATCAGAGCTAAAATGACAATTAAATCGTGAATTTTAGTTTGTAACCATCAAATGATTTCATCTTGTTACCTAATCTCCAAACATTTGTTTTGGGTGATCTTTTGCGTAAGAGATTTCGGAGTATACACACCGGGAGCTTTTCGTTAAAGTTCCCTTTTTTTTTCTATACTTACATTAAGTACAACGTAAGTTTTTGTTGTATCTACTATTAAAAAAAAAAATTAATTCATGATCGGGTTCATTCATCTTATTCTTGTTGGGTCGAGGATTGCATTTGCAAAAAACAAAACCAAATCGAAGCAAAAACGACCGTTAAATCGTGAATTTTAATTTCTAAACGTCGAATTATTTTATCCCGTTACCTAATCTCCGAACGGTTGTTTTGGGTGATTTTGTCGGAGGAGATCTCGAAGTATATGCAAACATGTTTGACGGTTGGATCGTGCAAACTAGTTTTGTAGAATGTGTGTCCCCTTGTAAAGAATCGATTCCAAAACACTTAGTGTTTTTTCTATACTTCCATTAAATACAATGTAAGCTTTCATGTAAAAGTTATGGAAACTAGCATATAGAAGGAAAAAAAAAAAACCCCCTAATTGTTTGGGAAGGAGGTGCACCTTTAGTTAGTAATATATTGGTGGTATAAATCATAATAGTAAGTACTACCAGAGCAAGGAGTTCAAGCCAATGGTGGGGGTTTGCAGTAACTATAATTTTTTTAATAATATTATTAGAATTAGCCGACGAATACTTAATTCGTCAAGCAAACCCCCTGCTATTCCACACCATTTTTTTCCTACTTCACGTCAAAATGTTGCTCGACGACGCGAGCAACATTTTACTTGCACTATGACAATAGTCCGTCGTGTAAAGCTTTTAAGTAAACCCTGATTATTGATCGTCTTCGCCCTCCCAGTTGAAATATCCGTCGGGTAAAGTTCGTTTACATGACGAAATCTGTTCCATCGCGTAAATGATTGTAGAGAAAGCAATATTTTCTAGCAGTGATGATACTTTCATGATAATTATCAGTATTGTAGTCTGTGCTTAATACTGTACATCAGTCATCTGTTATCTTTCAGTTGGATAGAGTAATTTTCTTTCTGTTTTACAACTGCTCCATGTGACTGATTTGTCTTGAAGAGAAACCCTTATGCGCACTACCTTTACGTGTCATATCATTTCTTATTGTTGTAGTCACTGTGAAAGTCTAAGCTACTTCTCGTTACTTTAGCAGAAGCACATGTACATGTCTATATTATAGATAATAACAAAGAGTAGCCGAAGCCACATTTGTGGGTTCTCGTAACTAACTACTAATTCACTAATCAAGCTAACAAGATGTAACAACTGTACATTAGAATTGTAAGAAATTATCATATGCCTGCATGTGTACTGCTGATAGCATGAGGACAAGCTAAGTTGCTTGACCCGTCATCAATTATATCAGAGATTCTGATTCCATAATTCTTGTGTTTGTTTTTCTTGTCTTACTTAATACCCAAGTTTATCAGGTAGATACTCATCTGAAGTATGAAACATTAAAAATTTATAGATGAAGTAACATCCGATTCAAACCACATTTGGTTGCGATTGGGCCTTGTCTAAGTGAGGTATATTTGCAGCATTAGATAGTGGAGAAATTGTTTCTTGAATGCTTGATTTCCATGCCTCTTGAAAGACATACACTTCCCATAAATTTTTTTGAGTCATATTGGAGCTTATACGGAGGCTTCAGTTCTGCGCACTGGGCGTGGCCAAAATTAGTGGTGAGTATTTCTCAAGCTTAAGATTGGCTGGTCTAGGAACTTTATCAGTTGGTTCCAATTTTGATGTGAATATTTGACATGGCTGTTTCCGCATTGCAATTGTAGTTTGTATTTTTCTTTAATGGTATTTGGGGTTCTATGTTTTGCTCGCAGTGGTTGTAGGCCTGAGTAGCTGTATCTGAAGTCAAAATTCTAACATATGAACTAAATGTAGGTGGTATGAGGGTGATGGCTGATCGGGATGAGTCTTCGCCATATGCGACCATGCTTGCTGCACAGGACGTGTCTCAGAGATGCAAGGTCATCTTCATCTCCCATTAACTGCGCTAATGATTAGAAACTGAATACTATTGCCAGCCTGAATAGTTATGGTTGATTTGCTACCAAGTGATATGGTTTAATCAGTAAGATGAGTTGTACTTTCAATTCTGAACAGGAACTTGGAATTACTGCTCTTCATATTAAGCTCCCTGCCACTGGAGGCAACAAAACCAAGACTCCTGGTCCAGGCACTCACTCTGCATTACGGGCCCTTGCTCGATCTGGAATGAGGATTGGCCGTATTGATAAAGCCCTTTTATTTCTCAAAAAATGTTGAAGATCACTATTTCACGACTATAAAGACTGCAACCTATCCTCGTCATCGTTTTAGCCTAGATGATTTGGTAGAGGTTTCTGTAATGTACTGACTGAACCTAGAATGATTTAACTTTGTATGCCAATCCTTTATCGGTGGTGGTCTTGAACCATTCTTGCTTTCTGTTTTCCAGAGGATGTGACTCCAATTCCCACTGACAGCACCAGAAGAAAGGGTGGTAGAAGAGGTAGAAAACTGTAAGCGACTTGCATATGTTTCATCTCCGACAATTTTATCCATAAATTTTGGGGGCGGATGTAGTTTATGGCGTTATTAGCATTGAAGAACTGGAATGTTATGTAGTTTTTTGTCCTCTCCAACTGAGCTTTTACTTTAAGAATTTGTATTTACACACGGGTACGATTTTATATGCTGCCTTTTCTTTTTGGTCTGTTTTAGCATAATTCTGTTTTACTTGCTGTCTCGGATGAGTTTATTTCTCTGTACTGTTTAACTTTAGGACGTTTGGCAATAAGGAAAAGCAATGGAAAAGAGAGTGAAGATTTTAGTTGGTTGACCATAAATCATTTGTAGGAAACAAACATGCCCCTTGAATACATTAAGACTAAATTATTCAAACAAAAGGATAGAAAATTGCTTGAGCAGAAACTTCTGGTTAACAATTCTGTCCTCATGGCTAGGGTGCAAGTCCAGCCTTTAGCTTTTGAATGGTGGCGACATTGGTCTTGAAGGAGATAGCCAAGACATTGTCATCAATGCCGGTGGCAAACAAGGTGCTGGGTATTGATACAGTTCCTGCATTTGCACTTCCAAAGGCAGAAACTGCCAGAGCTGGGACTTGTGGATCAGCATTGTACTGAAAGTGTGCTAGCCCCTTGGGAAATACAAAGAGATCACCTACTTGAAGGGTCTGTGTAAAGAGTGTGTTTTTGGTGTCCACGAAACCAACTTCGAGGGCACCGTCAATAAGGAAAAGGAGTTCAGCAGCGCGAGGATGAGTGTGTGGTGGGTTGGTACTTTTAGATGGGAATTCGAGGATGGCGTATGAAACACTCTGGCCATTAAGAGCGGGGAACTCAGCCATGGTTGCCTTTAATATCTTGAAAGCTGTGGGAGGGCCGCCCCCAACAAGAGCGCGAAATGCGGTGTTTGTGAAGAAGTTGCCATCTACTGTTACGTTTGGAGGAGCAATAAAGTCGGTAAGAATGTCCGGGTCTCCAGCCATTGCCATTTGAACAAAGGTGATTGAAGCAATTAGTAGTGAAAAGAATTTGAGAGCTGCCATAGTTGGATGATTTAATTGTAGAATTATTCAATATTGCGCTATTAATGTTTGGTTGTGGGATGAGATGGTTGGCCACAAGGGCAACATTTATAAGGTTTAGGGTTGAAAGAACCCTAAAGAAAACGAGGTGATTAGGGTTTGTATTGTTGCTGCAGGCCTTTCTGATGTCAAAATTGGAGATGAAGGTTACAATGTTTCTTCTTGTAATTGAAGTTCTACAGACGTTTGTTTGTCATTTTAGGGCAAGATCATGCCTAAAAACATTACAGATTTTGCTCATTTCGTCGCCAATAAATATTAAATTCCTAGCGTATGCTCGAATTTGACAACTAAACACGATCAAGTTAATTTTTTTAAAGAGATTTTACCTTAACATTTGAAAGCAAAATGCCAGAGAAAGAAGTCAAACACCTAAGCCAAAAATTCTAAATTAAGCATTTTATACCCAAAGGGAAACAACTGTTTAAAAACTAAGAAGTTATAATGATAAAAAAATAATTTCTGCACACAACATGTTTCTTTCATTTAGGGCTGGCAAACAGGTCGTATTTGTCGTGTTTCGTGTCGTTTTAGTGTAATACATATTATCTTAACAAGTTGTGTCATGTCACATCCATTATCTTAATGGGTCCTTAATAAGTGGGTCACTTAACAGATAAAATGATCCCGACCCGTTATGACCCATTAAGAAAAATATTTTTTTCCCTTAAATTTGCACATACTACATTGCCACATAAATATTACTTCAAAACCTAAAAACGCATAGTCGTTAAGTACTATATCTACACTCCAAAATAAGAGCGTAATAAAAAAGAACAATGCACTACTAGTCTACTATAAAATATAAAATGTGCAAGGATATGCAAAATGAAGAAATTTTTCTTTTAAAAGTTGTGAAGCCTTTCTCAGAAGTTCAAACTTTGCCAATGAAACTCAAAGGTGGCACATCATTCCTTTTACAAAATCCTTCAATTTTCATTGATCATCATGGAGAAATGTGTTGGAACTTTAGCTCGATCTGCTGCCTTTAAGAGTTAAGTTGATGATATTTTCAGTAAGGTTTTCCATATGAGAACTCTCTTCTGCATAAACTAAGTATAGAAAAACCAAATATTGTTAACCATTCAAATTATGAGAAGTTTACCAAAATAACTATGAAAATAAATAAAACAATAGTACTATATCATATTAAAATATTACCTCCTTTTCCAAATTTTCTATATTTAATTTAATATATATATATATATATATATTATTATTTGGGGTATAAAATTATTAAATTAATACTTTACTTATCGTGTATCAGATTATCCACGTGTATACTCGGACCAACCCGTTATCTTAACAGGTGTTTATTGGGTTACCCATAACGACCTGATTTGTATCGTGTCAACCTGATAATCTATTAATTTCATGTCGTTTCATGTCGGGTTAACGGGTTGTGTCAGAAATTGTCAAGCCTACTTCATGCACACTCCTGATTAGGGTCAGTTACACTAATACTCCTTAAGGTTTATCTAGTTTTCACAAAACCTCCTTACATTTGAGACATCAAACTAACACCCCTCAGGATTTAATTCACATTCACATAACTCGCTTAGTCAAAATTCTGCTAATAAATTGACAACTTTACCCTTACAACTAATTAATTAAATAATAAATTCCTTGAGGTTTATCGAGATTTACAAAACGCCCTCATATTTGAGACATTACACTAACAGCCCTCAGGTTTTAATTCACTTTCATATAACCTCTTCAGTCAAAATTCTACTATTAAATTCACAACTTTACCCTTTTATTAAATAATAAAATAGAAAAAGGAAATAATAAAAATAAATAAACACTAACTGCTCCACTAAAAAGTCAGCACAAATTCAATTCGGTTAAACAGGTTTGAGTTGGTAGCCGATGGGCGACTACAGTTTGCTTAAACAAAATTTTCTAAAGGCAACTGGTGAAGGTGACAGTTTGGCTAAACATTACTGAAGTCGTAGAATCAGCTTGGCTAAGAGTCTTGAAAATTTGGTTAAATAATAAGATCTCCTTTTTCAACTGGTTATTTATCCCAAGTCTCTCCTGGTGAAGAGTCTTTGACATTTTTTGCCGAACAACCTCACTTCATTAGCTTTCTTGATGAACTGGATTTTTCTAGGATTAGATATTCTCATGTAACATTTAAAGTTCGACATATCAACGGCTGAACCACTTTTACTATAAAGACACTCATCTCCTTTCAGTATCTTTGTCTCTACAATCTAATTCCAGTTCGACAGACCTATATTCTCACTAAAATAGTTGAGGTTGCCGAACCCAGTGTACAAGACCCTGAACTTCATAGCGAGTTGCACAACCTATAGAATCCAAGGCTGAGAGTGTTGCTTCCTCAACCAAGGTCACCTGATTCTAAAGTCAGGAACACATTCCATCATACCACCACATTCAAAAGCATTTTTCTGACCGAGCTTAGTAGCAAATTAGGATGCCCATATTAGCAATCAACCAACGAAGGACATAATTAACTCATTAAGTTACTTGACCTACGCGCCTCGTACGCTATGTAGTTTTTAGGGTCAATAGATATATAGAAACCCTCAAGTACTAGCTATACAAGGGCGGAGCCAAAAAAATTTCGGTCGGTGGGCTAGCTAAGAAGTATAAAAAAACAGTTGGTTTTTAAAAAAAATGACTGTACGTTAATATTACAAGCAAAGCTTGTCGAATTATTCTATGTTCATCAACATTTAATATGGCAAATATATACATAAATAAACAGAAAAAGGTTAACACACTGTAAAACTTTTTTAAATAGATAAAAGTCATGCATAAAATAATTCAAAAACTGAAACATGCAAAGAGTTGCTTTTGAAAAGAATTAAACGCACTGTTAGAGTAAGTAATTATTGTCACGAATAATTATAAATGGAGAGTATATGAAGTGTAAAATAGATTTTGTTAGGAAATAAATAGTATTGGTTAATGAAGTAAATAAATAAAAAATACATGGGCATTATAATAGTGAGATGAATATAAAAATAAATGAAACATAGGGAATAACTGGTTTGTACCCACAAGAGTTACCTAGGCTATAGCCCAGGGTAGCCCTGTACTTGGCTCCGCCCTTGTAGATAGATATATATATATATATATATATATATGAAGTGGAATTATGAAGTTGAAACAGATGAAGTTTATAGAACCAAATTAGTCAAGTGGTGAGATAAATTCAACCATCAGAAGTCCATAGGTGTTCCTTTGAGTAATGATGATGGACTAATGTCCGATAATGGCTGTTCCGGGATGGCAGGCAGAGATGGATGTGCTGACTGTGCCGGAATTGATGGAGTAATGGGAAATTCTGAGTTATCATCTTTATAATCACTACATTTGTTCATCTTTCAGTTTATCAGTTACAGTTTATGTCATTTGTTAACTTTCTAAGAAGGATTGTTTACTCTCAACCCAAACAGTAAAGCGTGTTCCATACAATAAGTCCATAGGATTGGCATAAGCGGATCGCATGAGCTGGGAGGGAGTTTAGCAAATGCGCAAGGAAGGTAATAGCCAGTAAGATTTCTGTATATTGAAAACCTGCATTTTGAACATTATGAGTAATTTAGCAATCTAAGATGTCCAACCCTAAGTGATGTTAGGTGGTACAAAGATGTTTTCATGTCTAGAGTCATGCTTAGAGAAGATAGTAATCAACCATTCTGGAAAGTTGGTCATGAATCCTAGAGGCAACATTAGTGGGTGTTCTTATGAAATGTTCTATAATGGTGAAAAGTAACGTGTTAACTGCATCTGGGACTCCACGTCCTATATGTTCATCAAAGATGGGTATTCCATCTTCAAGTCTTTTGACTGCATTTTTAATCTCATTTCTTGATTGTTCAGTGAAGTTTTTTTTTCCCACTAAGAATGGAGCATTCCTATAAATCCAGTGACCAAAAGGTTGACAACTTGTGTTTGACTAAATAATATACTCCTAATGTTCAAAATGCAGGTTTTCAATATAGAGAAATCTTACTGGCTATTACCTTCCTCGCGTATTTGCTAAACTCCTTCTCTCCTTCTCCGCTCATATATATATATATATATATGACATGAGGAGCTTCACACTTCTGGTGGCATTGACCAATTAGAATCACATTTACTGAAAGCTGGGTTGGATGATAAGGAAGCTACGATTCACTTGGCCATGCATATATACATGGAAAAGAAGCATGAGTTATTCCGTACAAGGTAGTTCTTGGCAAGGCTGTTTGTGTTTTTTCAGACTACTCAAGTCGAAAAGATTAGGACCCCTTAACGGTATATATGCACCTCAAATAAGAACACGATCTCATCAGTCTCATGAGCAAAAAATGGATAATCGATCTGTCAGAATTAAGGTACGCCGAGGTTGCGTAGGTAAAATACTATTTATACAGGAAATAAAAAGTAATTAGAATATACCGTTCTGTAAGTACAAATTCTTAATCTATTGCATACAACATCAGCTGGCCATTTCTTAGTGTTATACTTTGCTCGCTCAGGGTTGTATTCATATGTTTTTTGTCTGGGATGTAGGTTGCTCCTGTTCATCAGATTCGTAGTGTACCGAAAACAAGATTCTATCAAGTGCTTGTCATCACTGTTCTAAAAATCTTTGCCTAAGTGCTAGACGGCTGGCCACCGTGCCGATTAGTCCCTGGGCATTTGAAAATTAAGAAATGACACCTAGACCCGCTTAAGCGTCCGCCTAGCTCTCCTAGGCGCCCACCTAGGTTGCGACTCCCACTTAGACAGAAAATCGATAACTTTCATTTTGCATTTTATTTTTTAAATAAAATATAATAGACTTGTTAAATACTTGGATGAACACTCATTATATGCTTGTTTCCCATGTTTTCAATATGTTCTAATACTTTATAATCTATATGTCATTTTATTATGCAGTTTATGTATCTCAATATAATTATGTGTTTTTTAAGTATAAATAGGCACTTATTAATACAATATATAACAAATTTATTTGAATTCGCCTAGGTCCCCACCTAGTCCCTGCCTAGTGCCCACCTAGCCACCTAGGCGTTAGGCTTCAACCTGCCGCCCGACTAGCTTAACGTCTTTTAGAACCTTGCTTGTCACAAATGGTAATTTACACACTAATAAGTTGAAAATTTT